ATTTTCCCTTTGTTTATATTTATATATTTATGGTTCATGAGCACATCTCCTCTTCTTCATTATGAATAACCATGCAAAATTTTGTTTCAGACACTTTACGTGCTTTTATTTTGAAGGAAAAAATATATATATAAATTTCCCTGGTGAATATAATTCCGAGGGATTGATAGAAATTTATAATTTTATTATGTTAATTAGAAAAAAATATTAATTAGGATAGGTTCAATCGCAGAATTAATCTACAATTAGATAGAAAGGAAAAAGAATGTTAGGGAATTTTGGGAAAAAGTTGTAGTGATTTTGGTAACGAACAGTTCGACTAATTTTTGGTTAAGTGATGATAGTGGGGAACGGGAGGCCCGTTATATAGTGGTGTCGGTACGGCCTGGTGGGGGACTGAGCGTTCATTGGCTCTAAGCGACACATGCGCGCGACTGACCAATGCGGACGCGCTGCCCCCACCACGGCGTCACTTCGGTTCGTATATAAACAGACGGAACTCATCATTATCGCTCATTCTAAATCTGCCGTCGCGTCGTAACTATTACTAAGTAATTAATTTATTATTTTGTTACCTTCTTATTCTCTTCTACTATCTTTTTTACCTTTTTTTACAATTTTATTCTTTTATACATTTTATCTATTCCTTTTAACCTTTTTCTAAAATACTTTTTACTGTTCTTAATCCCTTTTCTGTCTACTATTTTTGTATGCAAAAATCCGAAAGACATTCTTCTTTTCCTCAAAATCTTTTTCCAAATTTTGCCTCCGCAATTCGTTTTGCAGACTAAAAAATTTTCCCTCTCGCAAGACAAGAAATTTCGCTTAAGTAGCACAATTACCAACGTATATTGCGCACGTTGAGTCGAGATTATACCGCTATTAATCAAACAAAGACATATTTCAAAGTAATTTCTCGTCAAGACACGCCTAATGGAAAATTTAGCGCTTTAGTTTGGAAACTGGAAAGTTCCTTCTGGCGTGTGGCTGTTCTATCGAATAATACATAGGGGTAAAGGAATACGGCACTGTGAGAGAAGTGGAAATTCACCGAGTGTAGTATACTGACAATAGAATTTGTCGCGTTCTCTCCTTACCACTGGGAATCTTTTTCCCATATACTGTTTGGCGTAAATGCACTTTCTCGGTTTATTAGGGCATCGAACCAAGTCTTAGAACGAAAAGCGAAGGGGCTGGAGGGAGAGAAAGAGAGATGAAAAAAAGTGAGAGAAGGAAGGGATGATTCAAGTGGGTGGAAAAATCTACCAGAGAGACTCTTATAAGGGTCGTAGTAGATGCCGCGATGTCTGCCTCGAAACGAACCGACAATGGCAGAGAAAAAGGAGAAACTGCAAACGCTAACCAATTGAGAGAGAAAAGTTTCACCCAAAAGCAAAGGAGAACCATTCTCAATGAAAAACCCCTGGTTGTTAGTGCGGTTACATTTCTTTCGACCGCATTGCATTAGGAATAAATTTATCCCAAGGAAAAAAACAAAATTTAATTGGGAATTGATGGCAAATTTTATCAAAGTAGAAGAAGAAAAATAGAAAACGTGAAAACGATAGAAAGAAAGTCGAAATTTTATATAAAAATACTGGAAATACAAGATAAAGAAAACAATTTTTGTTAAAATACATAATATGCTAAACAAGAAATGCAATATTATTTAAAATAAATAAAAACAAAATGTCTTGAATGTGGAAAATCATCCAAAAAAGACAAAACACACAGAAAAAAGATTTATTAAATTCTAAAGCAAGAATTTGGAAAATTTATACCCGGCATATAAAATACTTTAATGTCTAAAGTTTTTGGAAACTAATATTTCTCTTTCTTCCTTTTTTCCCGTCTTTCAAAGTGGCTTTAAATAGCTTTCTTCTAACATCCTTATCTATCGATCCAAAGACTACAAAACTATTCTCAACTAGTAACGCTCGAAACAATCCCAATTTCTCACTACTTTTTTCTCTTCCTCTCTCTCTTTCTCTTTTTATTTTTTACCACTCTGGTGGATATAACAAAAAAAAAACTTCAACTATCGAAAAATTTCCAAATTAGGTTATAATTCTTCTAATTCAGACTTCGTATTCTATAATTAATTTTAAAAAAGTAGAAAATAGCAGCTTATAGACAGAAAAAGTAGTAAAAAAGTAGCTATTGAAAAATTAAACTTGAATTAATTTTTTTATAATTTCTTATTTACATTCAAAAATAGAATAATTTTTCAAAATAAATATTTAAATATAGGATTTATTTTGTCTACAGGAATTAAAATATTTTAAATGATTTCAATGTAACGCATTTTTAAAATTTAAGTATTTCTAAAAATTACAAAAATAATTCTATCAAAATTCAATCATTTTTTTTTTCTTGAAAATAAAATTATTCAAAACTTTAATCATTTTATTTTATTCAATTCTAAATCAATTTTTATTCGAAAGTTCTACGAGAATTAAATTATTTAAATACAAAAATAAATAATTTAATTAATAATTAAATATTTCTTAAATTTGAATTCTTATAAAGAACCGTATCAACATTTTTTAAAAAAATTGAATTTTTACGAAGAATTGCATTAAAATTTTTAAAAATAATTACATTCATTCAAGAAATGTAATTAAAAATGAATTGAAAATAATTATTACACTCTAAGAAACAGATTATTTTAAATTTTTTACAATAATTGAATTTTTTCGAAGAATTTTATTCAAATTTCTAAGAATAATTGTGTTTTTAGCGGAGATAATTTGAAATTATATTAAAAGTAATTGAAATCCTGCGATGAGTTTTATTATTTATGAAAATAATTGAATTTATGTCACCGAAATTCAATAAAATTTTTAAAATAATCGAATTCTTGAGACGAATTTAAAAAAAAATCTTTTTAAAAAAATTACGAAAATAATTGAATTTTTTTAAAAAATGTTATTAAAATTATATTAAAAACAATTCAATTATTATAAAGAATTTTATTAAAATTTTTTTTAAATATAATTGAAATCTTTTAAAGAATTTTATTTAAATTATTAAAAATAATTGAAATCCTGCGATGAATTTTAATATTTATAAAAATAATTGAATCCTTCCAACGGTTATTATTAAAATTTAAAAAAATAATTAAATTCCTGAGAAGAATTTTAATATTTATAAAAATAATTGAATTCTTGCGAAAAATTTTATAAAAATCTATTTAAATAATAATTGAATTTTTTCGAAGAATTTTATTCAAATCTTTAAGAATAATTGCATTTTTAGCGGAATTAATTTAAAATTATATTAAAAATAATTAAAACCCTACGATGAGTTTTATTATTTATGAAAATAATTGAATTTTCGTCACCAAACTCTAATAAAGTTTTTAAAATAATTGGATTCTTGAGAAGAATTTAAAAAAAAATCTTTTTTAAGAAATAATTTTTTTAAAAATAATTCATTCAAAAAATTTTATTCAAATAAAATTGAAAACAATTCAATTATTGTAAACAATTTCATTAAATCTTTTTAAAAATAATGAAAATCTTTCAAAGTATTTAAATAAAATTGGATTAAAATTATTGTATTAGGTAAAAATAATTGAAATTCTGCAATGAATTTTAATATTTAGAAAAATAAATGGATTGTTGCAACGGTTATTATTAAAATTTTAAAAAATAATTGAATTCTTGCGAAGAAATTTATAAAAAACTATTTAAATAATTGAATTTCTACGTGACCATTTTTTTATTTATCAAAATAATTGAATTAAAAAAAAATTTTGACAATAATTTAATTCTTTCAAAAATTTTTTTTTTAAACAATTCAATTATTATAAACAATTTTATTAAAATTTTTTAAAAATAATTGAATTGTTTCAAAGAATTTTAATAGATTTTTTACAAATAATAACATTTTTCGAGGAATTTACTTTAAATTGTTTTAAAAATAATTGAAATTCTACGATGAGTTTTAATATTTATAAAAATATAATTGAATTCTTGTAACGATTGTTATTAAAATTTTTTTTTAAATAATTGAATTTTAGAGAAGAATTTTATTATTTATAAAAATAATTGAATTCTTGCGAAGAATTTGATAAAAATCTATTTAAATAATAAATTGATTTTTTTCGAAAAATATTAGCAAAATTCTGTTTAAATAATTGAATTTCTTTTTTTATTTATCAAAATAATTAAATGTTTGCGAAGAATTTTATAAAATTTTTTTTTTAAATTATTCAATTCTTGTCGGAAATTTTTTATTAAAATAGAAGATATTAAAAATAATTGAATTACAAAACATTTTTGAAAATAATTGAATCGTTTTAAGGAATTTTATTAAAAATTTTTGAATGTAAATTCTCAAACATGGAAAAAGGTAGCTTTTAATGTAACAAATAAAAGAAAAGTATCCAAATGGTACCAAATCGTAAAAAAAGTAGTAAATAGTAGGTTTTAGTAGATGAATGCAACGCCTGTTAATTAGAAGTTAAGTCTTCTATAACTAGAATTTAATTTCTTGCTAATAGAAGATAATTTTTCAAATCAAGAGAGAAAATTTGTTCAATCGTCTGTGATAAACTATATATAAACGATATAAGAGTGAATTTTGCGATAAACTTTTGGAACGGAATTATTTAGGTAATTTTGAAAATCCAATAATCCTCAACAGCAATCTTCTCTCCCTTCTGCTCTTACACAACAACTTTAAAAGTCAATAAACTTTCAAAGACACTAATCTAATGGTCCATTACATTTTCCAAGTAATTACAATTCCCCAAAACTTTCAATTGGAAATTCAAAAATTACCCTTGGAATTTCTAATGGATATTACGGTACATTGAATTTCAAGTACTTTTTTTATTTTATCTCTTTTTTCATTTTTATTGCGATTTCTTCTTTTTTTTAGAGAAGAATTAAACGATTTTTTTTTTCTTTTTTGATTTACTTCAAATGGTTTGATTGTGAAATTTCCAATGTTTTTTTTTATCTTCATCTCTTTTTTTCTTTTTTGTGTACTAGACACACATGTACAAATGGATAAGAGATCACCGAACTCATCATCGTTTCTCGGAAACAACGGCGGATCCACACAATGCTAATCGTGGATTCTTTTTCTCTCACATGGGATGGCTGATGATGAAGAGGCATCCTGATGTCATTCAAAATGGAAAAGAAATCGATATGAGCGATATCGCCGCTGATCCGGTCATTCAGTTTTTCGACAAGTGAGTTTTAGTTGTAAAAGAAAATCCAAAAAAAAAAAATTTATCCCTTTTTTTTCTGTGAATATCCATTAAAAACAGAATTTTTCTTTGAATGATAAAAATAATTTAAAAAAATTTTAAGACATTTCATTATTAAATTTTAAGATTTTCTTTTAATTAAAATGTCAAAAATTTAATGTTTAGCAATCGCAATCTCGTAAATGAAGAAAAAAAATGTTCTCTAGAAAAAAATCACTTAAAATTTTCAAAACGTAATTAATTTTCAATCTTCAATAATTTTTTTGTAAAAGTAATAAAAAAAATTAATTACAAGCAAAATTGCAACAGTTCAAGGAATTCAAGGAAAAGTCAAGGAAACTTGGAATTAGTCAAGGAAATTGGAAAAAAGTTAGAGAATTTTCTTAAAAGTACTGGAAAAAATTAAATTTTTAGAATTCATAAATAATAAAATTCATCGCAAGAATTTCAATTATTTTTAATAGAATTTTAATTAAATTATTCGAAATAAATGAATTATTCTTTTAAATTTTTATAAAATGAATAAAAAAAATTCAATTATTTTCAAAAATTGTAATAAATTCCTTTGGAGGAATTAAATTATTTTTGTAAATAATAAAATTCTTGTCAGAAATTCAATTATTTTAAAAAAATTTCATAAAAATTCAATTATTTTAAAAAATTTTCATAAAATTCTTCATAAAAATTCAATTATTTCCATAAAGAATAAACTTTTTCACAGGAATTTACTTTATTCAGATACAATTTTAAGAAAATTTATGAAGAAAAATTCAATTATTTAAACAAAAAATTGTAATGGAATTATTGCAAAGAATTAAATTATAATTATAATTAAAATACTTAGCAAGAATTTATTTATTTATGCAAATTTTCATAAAAATTCAATTATTTTCATAAAAAATAAAGTTTTTTGCAGAAATTCAAAAGAATTCTATTATTTTCATAAATAATAAAATTCTTCACAGATATTCAATTATTTCCAAAAATTGGAAATAAAATCCCTTGCAGAAATTCAATTATTTTAAAAAATTTAATTATATTTTTAAAAATTTTCATAAATTTGTTCGAAAGAATTAAATTATTTACAAATTGTAATAAAAATCTTCAAAAGAATTCTATTATTTTTATTTTAATACAATTTGTATCAAATTATTCAAAATAATTGAATTATTCTTTTAAATTTTCGCATAAAATGAATTAAAAAAATTCAATTATTTCCAAAAATTTCAATAAAATCGTTTGGAGAATTTAAATTATTTTTGTAAATAATAAAATTCTTGTCAGAAATTCAATTATTTTTTAAATATTTCATAAAAATACAATTATTTCCATATTCATACAATTGTAAGAAAACTTATAGGGAAAAATTCAATGATTTAAAAAAAAATTTAATAAAATAATTGAAAAGATTTAAATTATAATTATAAATAAAATTCTTCGCAAGAATTCAATTATTTATTTCTATAAATATTAAAATCCTTATCAAGAATTCATTTATTCATGAAAATTTTTATAAAAATTCAATTATTTTCATAAATAATAAAATTATTCACAGAAATTCAAAAAAATTCTATTATTTTTATAAATAATAAAATTCTTTACAGATATATTCAATTATTTTCAAAAATTGAAAATAAAATCTCTCGCAAGAATTCAATTATTTTTGTAAATACTAAAATTCATCGCAGAAATTCAATTGCTTTTAAAAATTTTCATAAAATTCTTCATTAGAAATTCAATTATTTCCATATACAAAAATATTCTTTGAAGAAATTTAATTATTTTAAAAAATTTTAATAAAAAGGTGTTTGAAAGAATTAAATTATTTACAAATTTTCATAAAATTCTTTATAAAAATTCAATTATTTTCCATATAAAATAATATTCTTCTCATAAATTTAATTATTTTTGTAAATAATGAAAAATCTTCGCAAAAATTCAATTGTTTTTACAAATTTTCATAAAATTCTTCATCAAAATTCAATTATTTCCAAATACAATAAAATTCTTTATAAAAAATCAATTATTTTTATAAAGAATAAAAATCTCTGCTGAAATTCAATTATTTAAAAAAAATTTCACAAAATTCTTCATAAAAATTCAATTATTTTCATAAAGAATAAAAAATTTCACAGGAATTATATATTATATGTACCTATTATTATAAATAAAATTCTTCGCAAAAATTGAATTATTTTTATAAATAATAAAATTCTTAACAAGAATTCCAATTTTTTTGAAAATTTTCATAAAAATTCAATTATGTTAAAATGTTTTCATAAAAATTTAATTGTTTTCATAAAAAATAAATTTTTTCATAAAAATTCAGTTCTTATAATTTTAAAAATTTTAATGAAAAGGTTAGATAGAATTAAATTATTTATAACAATTGTAAAAAAATTCTTAACAAATTTAATTTTTTTTATAAATAATAAAATTCTTCACAGACATTCAATTATTACCAAAAAAATGTTAATAAAATCCTTCGCGAGAATTCAAATATTTCTAGGGTGCGATTTTGTAGTTTGAATTTGATTTTCGATTCTCTAATAGTGAGAATAAAAATTTCTCGAAGTAAATGTTTTCTATTTTACAGTATGTGTATGAGAATAAGTAAATTTTCAAAAAAATAGAAATAAACGTTTGTAAATAAATATTTATTATTAATTAAATATTTTTTCCAAGATATGAATTTTTTTATACCCTTAGTGCAAAATATTAAAAGGATAAGTAACAAAGAAACAAAAAGATAGAAGAAAGAAGAACAAAAACGAATATTGAAGAAACATTTGAAAACATAACTTCATAAGTGAATGAATAAATAAATATTATTAATTTAATAATAATAATAATAATAATAATAATAATACAATTAATTTAAATTATTAAAAATATTATAGAAATAGATAAATATCAGTAAAATTTAAATTTTCCTTAAAAAAAGCTCATTCTCTTAAGCTGCAGTGATTTAGATAATAATAAAAGTAAATGAATATAAAATTCCCATCAAAATCCACGCTTTCCAGTGCGTTTTCCACTCGAGAATAAAATTAGTTACTGAAATGAGTGTTATTAACTTGATCTTAAGAGTTCGCTTTTTAAATTGAAGATTAAACGTTAAGCTTAGCTTCAACGTGGAGAAAAAGAATCTTAAATAAAGGAACTTAAAGCTCAACCTGAATTAAGAAGCTGCTGAGAGTGATATCTCTTGATACGCATTAAAAGTACTTAATGAAAATTCAAAAAAAGAAAAAATTTACACTCCCTTATCTTCAAATTGTTTGAATAAAAAATCTTAATTGGTTTCCGAATATTTAATTAAGAAAAATGAATTTTTTTTACAATTTCTCTATTATTAAATTAAAACAAAAAAAATTTAACATCTATTTACTAATTATGAATTGACTATGATCAACACCTTCCACATCTTTTATATATTAATTAAAAAAAAAATGTTTAAGTAAGAATTAAATTCGGTACCTTAAATTCTATAAAAGCGCAAAAGTAAAAATTAATGTTAGAAAAGCAGCGAAAAGTAACTTTAAAACTGAAAAAAGTAGTTAAAAAAGTAACTATCGAAAAATTAAATTTGACAACTAAAAAACTCGTTTTAGTCGATTTAGAAAAATCACAAAAATTTTATTCTTTCCCTAATTTCTATAAAAAATATTAATTTTTTTTCTTATCCTTTCAGTTCTAAATTTTTATGAAATTCAATTATTTTCCAAACATTTAGTTAGAATTCTTCAAAAATTCGATTCAATTTAAAAATACTTTTAAAAAGAAAAAAAATTAATTTTTTAAAAATATAAAATAATTACAATGTGAAAGCTTTTTCAAAATTCATACAATAAAGTAATATTAATATTCAATTATTATTATCGAAAATTTTAATAGAAATTCATTTTAAAATCAATTCCAGTCAAAAAGTTCAAAAGAGAATTCAATTACTTAAATACAAAAATAAATAATAATTGATAGAATACTTGATTATTTCTTAAAATTGAATACAAAGCATTTTAAAAAAAAAAATTTTAATGATTACATTTTTCGAGGAATTTATTAAAAGTATAATTTCTCCAAAGAATTCTATTATTTGTGAAAATAATTCAATTCTTAGGAAAACATTTTTTAAAAATTTTTTTTAAATAATTAAATAATACAAAGAATTTTATTAAAATTTAAAAGAAATAGTTCAATTATTTCGAAAAATTTGATAAAAATTGTATTAAAATAAAAATAATAGAATTCCTTTAAAGAATTTTATGAAAATTTGTAAATAATTTAATTCTTTCAAACACCTTTTTATTAAAATTTTTTAAAATAATTAAATTTCTGCAAAGAATATTATTTTATATGGAAATAATTGAATTTTTATGAAGAATTTTATGAAAATTTGTAAAAATAATTGAATTTCTGCGAAAAATTTTATTATTTACTAAAATAATAGAATTTTTATGAAAATTTTTAAAAGCAATTGAATTTTTGCGAAGAATTTTATTATTTACACAAATAATTGAATTTTTATGAAAATTTTCAAAAAAATTGGAATTCTTGTTAAGAATTTTATTATTTATAAAAATAATTCAATTTTTGCGAAGAATTTTATTTATAATAATAGGTATATAATATATAATTCCTGTGAAATTTTTTATTCTTTATGAAAATAATTTAATTTTTATGAAGAATTTTGTGAAATTTTTTTTTAAATAATTGAATTTCAGCAGAGATTTTTATTCTTTATGAAAATAATTGAATTTTTATAAAGAATTTTATTGTATATGGAAATAATTGAATTTTTATAAAGAATTTTATCAAAATTTGTAAAAATAATTGAATTTTTGCGAAGATTTTTCATTATTTACAAAAATAATTGAATTTATGAGAAGAATATTATTTTATATGGAAATAATTGAATTTTTATGAAGAATTTTATGAAAATTTGTAAAAATAATTGAATTTCTGCGAAGAATTTTAGTATTTACAAAAATAATTGAATTCTTGCAAGGGATTTTATTTTCAATTTTTGAAAATAATTGAATATCTGTAAAGAATTTTATTATTTATAAAAATAATAGAATTCTTTTGAATTTCTGTGAATAATTTTATTCTTTATGAAAATAATTGAATTTTTATAAAAAGTTTCATGAATAAATGAATTCTTGCTAAGGATTTTAATATTTATAGAAATAAATAATTGAATTCTTGCAAAGAATTTTATTTATAATTATAATTTAAATCTTTTCAAATTATTTTATTAAATTTTTTTTTTAAATAATTGAATTTTTCCCTATAAGTTTTCTTAAAATTGTATGAATATGGAAATAATTGAATTTTTTTAATTCATTTTATGAAAATTTAAAAGAATAATTCAATTATTTTGAATAATTTGATACAAATTGTATTAAAATAAAAATAATAGAATTCTTTTGAAGAATTTTATTACAATTTGTAAATAATTTAATTCTTTCGAACAAATTTATGAAAATTTTTAAAAATATAATTAAATTTTTTAAAATAATTGAATTTCTGCGAGGGATTTTATTTCCAATTTTTGGAAATAATTGAATATCTGTGAAGAATTTTATTATTTATAAAAATAATAGAATTCTTTTGAATTTCTGTAAAAAACTTTATTTTTTATGAAAATAATTGAATTTTTATGAAAATTTGCATGAATAAATAAATTCTTGCTAAGTATTTTAATTATAATTATAATTTAATTCTTTGCAATAATTCCATTACAATTTTTTTTAAATAATTGAATTTTTCTTCATAAATTTTCTTAAAATTGTATCTGAATAAAGTAAATTCCTGTGAAAAAGTTTATTCTTTATGGAAATAATTAGAGTTGTGCAAAAAGCTCGAGGCTCGAGGCTCGAGCGAGCTTTTTCGAGCTTTTCATTTTTCGGGCCGAGCCGAGCCGAGCCTAATCAGTTCGAGCTCGAGCCGAGTTCGAGCCGAGCCGAGCTGTGTAAAAAGCTCGAATAGTTTCGAGTACTCGAGTTAATTCGAGTACTCGAATTTTTCGAGCACTCGAGGGAATTCGAGTACTCGAATTTTTTCGAGCTCTGAGTAAATTCGAGTTCTAGAGAAAATTCATAGAATTTTCGCATTTATTATATTTAGCAAATAGAAATATTGATTCAGTAATTCAAAAAAATTCGAAATTTTTTACTTATTAATAGTTTTTTTAGTAAGTCAAAAGCTCGAATCCATTCGAGTACTCGAAAAATTCGAGTACTCGAATTCACTCGAGTGCTCGAATTTAATCGAGTACTCGAATTTACCCGAGTACTCGAAAATTTCGAGTACTCGATACATCGAGCCGGCTCGGGCTCGGCTCGGCCCGAAAAAATTTCGGCTCGGCTCGGCTCGACTTTTCGAGCTTTTTGCACATCTCTAGAAATAATTGAATTTTTATGAAGAATTTTATGAAAATTTTTTTAAATAATTGAATTTTTCTGAAATTTTTTAAAAATAATTGAATTTCTGCCAAGAATTTTATTATTTACAAAAATAATTTAATTCTTCAAAAGGAATTTATTACAATTTTTGAAAATAATTGAATTTTTTTTATTCATTTTATAAAAATGTAAAAGAATAATTCATTTATTTTGAATAATTTAATTAAAATTCTATTAAAAATAATTAAAATTCTCGCGATGAATTTTATTATATATGAATTATTTATGAATTCTAAAAATTTAATTTTTTCCAGTACTTTTGATAAAATTCCCGTATTTTTCCTCTATTTTCCTGACCAATTTTACTTTCCTTAACTTTTCCCTGAATTCTCTGAACTGTTGTAATTCTGCTTCTAATTAATTTTTTCATAACTTTAACAAAAAAAAACTTTTTGGGTTGAAAATTAATTACGTTTAAAAAATTGTAAGTGATTTTTCTCTATAGAGAAAAAGATTTTTGTTCATTTACAAAATCACTGCTGAAAAATTAAATTTTTCACATAACTTTAATTAAAATTTTTGTTTTGTGTTCTAAAAGTTTTTTAAATTATTTTCATCACTCAAAGAAAAATTCTGTTTCCAAATATATTCACAGTAAAAATAAAAACTAAAAAAAAAGGGATAAATCAATGTCGTGAAAATGAAAGCCTGTAATTATTGCAAAATCAAAAGTGAAAATGATGCTCTATTTATGAAAGTGAAAATGAAAATAAATAACCATGTATAAAAGTGAAGTTGAAATCATCGACCCTCTGATATTTTCTTCTATTTGAATTTTCCATTTGAAATTGCACAAATTCAATTTCCCTCAATCTCTAATAAACAGATAAGTCTCGTTAATCAATTTCAGATGAAACCAGCCGAATTCAAATCCATTCGTATATATTTACGACTAAAACTCTGATTTCACTCTATAGCAATAAGTATCAAGTGGTGACGTTAAAACAGTTCACATAACATTGATAAACGTTATAAATGCTAGAAACATACTTTTGCCATAAAACAGATGATTTATCTTGACAATAAAGACAATAAAGACACTAAATGATAAAGTTGATAAAAACAAAACAAAAATCCCCAAGTGCCTGTACATTCAATACATATTCCAGATTTTATACAACACAGTATTTCTGATGCAGTAAAAAAGTAAATCACAAGTTATGACTAACTTTTTTTCCCATTCTCCATACAGAATATATGAATTTTGATGTGTGTGTTATTTTTACAGATTCTATGAGCCCATCATGTTGTCCTTGTGTTTCGTTCTGCCAACTCTAATACCCGTTTACTGTTGGAATGAAACTTGGTACATCAGCATCCACGCTGTCATCATTCGTTACATCTGGCTGCTAAATGCAACCTTTCTCGTCAACAGTTTCGCACACATGTGGGGCAATCGGCCATACAATAGGTATATAACGAACCCTCTCTCTACTTTTTTCCCCCTCAAATACAGATTCAACATTTTTCTATTTTTGGCAACAAAAAAAAAAAGGAGGGAAAATAAAAAGACATGGATGAAAAAAATTGTGAACAAAATTGAAACAATACGTGGTATTGATTTTTTCTATCATATCGAAAAGAGGTTTTGCTATACATACTATAAAATCAACTTTCCATGACAATGTGGAAATTAATGAAAAAAAAATTGAATTTAATATGGTTTTAAAAATTATCGGAAAAAAATTAAAAGAAAAATTTTGCTAAAAATATCAACTTTTTTTAAATAGAATTTTAAAAAAAATTATGGAAAAAATTAAATTATTTTTTTAAAATATTAATAAAATTGCTCGAAAGAATACAAATATTTTGAAAAATTGTACTGAAATTCTTAGGAGAAATTCAATTATTTCTGTAAATAATGAAACTCTTCTCAAAAAATCAATTACTTTTAAAAATTTTCATGAAATTCTTCATAAAAATTCAAATTATTTTTAAAAAATCTCATGAAATTCTTCATAAAAATTCAATTATTTTTTTAAATTTTCATTAAATTCTTCATAAAAATTCAAATTATTTCCATAAAGGATAAAATTTTCCACAGAAATTCAATTATTTTCGATATATGAACAATTTTGAGAAAATAATATGTAAAAAATTCAATTATTTTTAAAATCATTAATAATATTGTTCTAAAGATATAAATTATTTTCATAAAAATTCTTCCTAAGAAAATTCAATTATTTCTATTTTCAACAAATAATAAATTTTTTTCTAAGAATTCAATTATTTCTATAAAAAATAAAATTTTTCACAGGAATTCAGTTATTTTCGATAGGAACAATTTTGAGAAAATATATTATGTAAAAAATTTAATTATTTTTAAAATCATTAATAATATTGTTCTGAAGAATTAAATTATTTTCAAAAATTCTAATAAAATTCTTCACAAGAATTCAATTATTTCTATAAATAAGAAATTTTGTTGCAAGAATTTAATTATTTCTATTTATAAATAATAAAATTTTTCGCAGGAACCAGGAATTCAATTAAATTAAAATTTTTTTTATAGAATTCTTCATGAACCTTCAATTATTTCCATAAAGAACAAAAATTTTTAACAGAAATACATTTATTTTAGATACAATTTTAAAAAAATTTATGGAGAAAATTGAATTACTTTCAAAATTTTTATAAAGAATTAAAATATATTCAAAAATTGTAATAAAATACTTTGAAGAATTCAATTATTTTCATAAAGAATAACATTTTTCAAAGAAATTAATTTATTTTTGATACAATTTTAAGAAAATTTGTGCAACAAATTAAATTAATTTAAAAAATTTTTATAAATTTGACCTAAAGAAATAAAATATTTTTAAAAATTGTAATAAAATACTTTTTAAGAATTCAATTATTTCTATAAATTATAAAATTCTTCACATAAATTCAATTATTTTTTAGAATCTTTTATAAAATTCTTCATAACAATTCAATTATTTTAGATACAATTTTAACAAAATTTATGGAAAGAATTCCATTATTTAAAAAATTTTTCTAAAGAATTAAAATATTTTCAAAAATTGCAATAAAATTCTTCACAAGAATTCAATTATTCCTATAAATAATAAAATTCTTCGCAAGTATTCAATTATTTCGATAAATAATAAAATTCTTCGAAGGACTGCAATTATCTTTTTTAAATTTTAGTAAAATTCTTTATAACAATTCAATTATTTCATAAGGAATAAAATTTTTCACAAAAATTTAGTTATTTTCGATTCAATTTTAAGAAATTTTTTGAAAATTATTCCATTATTTTTTAAAATTTTAATCAAATTCTTTATTAAAATTTAATTCCAGAAATTAAATTACTTTCGATGCAATTTTCAAAAAGTTTATCTTAAAAATTCAATTTCTTTTAAAAATTTTAATAAAATTCTATGAACTATAATCTAATTATCTTCAAAAATATTGATAAAATTTCTTAAAAAAAAATTAAATTACTTTTAAAAAGATTAATAAAATTCTTTAAAAAAAATTTTTTAATCAAAGTCTTGAAAAAAATTTAATTGTATTAAAAAAAAAAATTAATAACATTTTTCGAAAACAATTTAGTGTTTTACAAATTTTAATAAAAAATCTTTGAAAGAATGAATTATTTTCAACAATTTTGAATAAGAATTCAATTATGTTCTATACAATATTTTAATTGAAATAATTGAATTATTTTCAAAAATTATAATAACATTAATCGAAAGAATTCAATTATTTTTATAAATAATAATTTTTTTTGCAAGAATTCAATTATTTCTATAAAGAATAAAATTTTTTACAGGAATTCAGTTATTATTTTCAATACAATTTTCAGAAAATCTATGGAAAAAACAAAATTATTTTCAGAAAAATTTGATAAAATTCTTCGAAACAATTCAATTATAGTTTCAAAAATAATATTTATAATTGATAGCTTCTTTCACCTTTAATAATATTTATAATTGTTAATAAATAATTATTAAATATATTAAGTATAAATAAATGTTTATTAAATATATGTATAACAAATAAATAATTATTAAAATTTCTAAATTTTTAATTCAAAAAGTTATTCAAATTGTCATTACAAAATAATAAAATTTTAATAGAAGATACAACACATCACTTTTTCATGTGACGAGAATGTAAAAAACTAGAAATTCTCAAGAAACACGAAAGGCAGAAAGAAAAAAAAGTAAAATTCAATTTCAATTGTTTGCAAAATAGAAAAACTCCATCTATATCGTCCATAGTTGAAAAACTTCCCTTTCTTAAATACCAAAAAGAAAAAAAAAATTCTCCCAAGAATATTATACGTTTTATAATATATCAAGACTCTGTCGAACTTTTCCTTCCCCCCCAATTTAAGAGACACTTTTTTTTCTCATTCTCACACATACAGTTTTAATAATAGTAATTTTTTTTTTTTTTTTTTTTTTTTTTTTGTTAAGCGAGAATGAAGAAGCTACTCGGCAAAAGTTTTTTAACGACGATCGATTATTATTATTCGCTTATCTTTCTTTCCCGTTGCAGGAAGTTGAGGCCAACGGAGAATCCAACAGTGGCCTTTTTTACACTCGGCGAGGGTTGGCACAATTATCATCACTCCTTCCCATGGGATTATCGTGCCGCCGAACTTGGCGCTTATGGACTAAATCCATCGACGGCATTTATTGAGATAATGTCGTGGTTCGGTTTGGCCTACAATCTCAAAACGCCCAACAGGGATTTGGTCAAGAGTTTCAATCTCAACAAGGGCGATGGGACCGACAGTTTTTGGGGTCATCAGTATCATAAAAATATTCAACGCAAACGTTGATAAAAGTAAAATTTTTTTTTTTTTTTATAAATTTCACTTCTTTCATCTTTTGATAAAATTTTATCTTTTTGACGAAAATTAAATAATTTTTGTCAAAATGATATAATTTTATCGAAAAATATAATTTTATCGAAAGATATAATTTTATCAAAAAGATATAATTTTATCAAAAAAGATATAATTTTATCACTTTAGTAGAGGAATTTAGAGGAAAATAATGTGTATAGATTATTTATAGTAATTTTTTTGATAGAATCTAAGTGTTATATTTTATGATAGTTTTTAAGATTTTTAAAAATTCCCGCCTTTTGTAGTTCACTGCGCGTGCGGCTGGACCAAAAAGAAACTCTCTGCGCAAGCTGCTGCGCACTATATAAAAGGCGCGAAATTCAAAACACAAAAATACTTTAAAGTGTAATTTTTATTCTTTCCAGTGGTAAAAAAGTAAATTGCGAAATATTTTGCAGAACAAAAAGTAATAAATAAAAAAAAAATGTCAAAAGCCTTAAAAAAAACTTAAAGCGCACTAAAAAAACGCGAAATTCAAAACACAAATAAATTTAAAGTACAATTTTTATTTTTTTTCTGCAGTAAAATAGTAAAATAAAAATTGCTGTGCCAGAAATTTTTTTGTCAGAATATTTTTTCCTCGAGATAAAATTGTCTGCAAATAAATTTTTTCTTTTTCTGCTAATTAAATAAATTGAACAATTATTGAAAAGAAAAGTTAACGACAAACAAATTTGTACGTTTTCACTCTCGAAAATTGAATTAGTAAAAATATTTATTAATTTTAATTAGTGATTGACTTTTTGCTTTTGAATTAGTAAACTTCACAAAGAAATTATTAGAAATAATAATTTTTTAGTAAAAATTTCCTCATTTAAAGTCAAACAAAAATTTCGGCCCATTGTATTTCACCACAGCGCATGCGCTGAGTGGCTGGACCAAAAATAAACTCTCTGCGCATTTTTCTCCGCACTAAAAGGGCGCGAAATTCAAAACACAAAATTCTCTAAAGTGTAATTTAAATTTTTTTTCTGTAGTAAAAAAGTAAAATAAAATAAAAAAAATAAAATAAAAAAAAAATTAATAAAATAAAAAAAAATAAAAAAAAATAAATAAATAAAAAAATTAAAAATTAAAAAGTAAAATTTACTAATTTAAAAGCAAAAAGTCAGACACTAATTTAAATTAATAAAGAGTTTTACTAATTTAAATTTCAAGTCATTTTAAAAAAAACATTGTTTTTCATTCAATTAAGTAATTAAAAATAAATAAATAAATAAAAATTTTTTTTACTTTCATGTAATATTTTTTTGTTTGTTTGTTTTCTGTATAAACTTGAACAATCCATCGATTATTAAAGAGCACAAACATGACGTACAATTTTGATTGAAAAGCGCTATTTCCGAACAGGAATTTCGCATTAACAAATTGAGTGAAAATAATCATAGAGGGATTTTGCATTATATTTTTTTTTTAAACAAATCGAAATCAAAATATGATTAAGAATAATATTATGTGAATGTGAATTATCATTAAGTTTCAGTATTATAATTATTTTACTCATTGGGACTTTAAAATAGAGGATTATATATTTATTGTCTCTGATCAAAATTTATCGTTCGATAATAATAATCAGGAAAACGTGGTTTTCAACTGTTTGACACAATAATATAATAATAATAATAATAATGCAAAATGCCGCTTTGTTCATTATTCATTTTAACGACGACATTACAGGAAAGTTAACACTCTATTTGTGACATTAATTACAATTCACAATAAATTATCCCTTCGACCTTACTTTTTGCTCTCGCGGATATTTTTGCAGACATTTTTCATTTTTATTTTTATTTTTTTTTACTTAAATTTATTATTTTAAAAATAAAAAAATTTATATTTAATTGACAGAAAATAATGAAATAGAATTTTTGTTTAAACTTACTTTTTGCTCTCATAAATATATTTGCAATTTTTTATTTAAATTTATTAATATTCTATTCATTACTTTTTACTCATAAATACAATTGCAAATTTATTTTATTTAAATTTATTTTGTCTATTCAAATATATTTTTTGCTCTCATAAATATTTTTGCAATTATTTTTTATTTCAATAAATTTTTTTTATTCATTATACTTTATTCACTCTCGTAAATATATTTGCATATATTTTTTATTTTATTTTCTTTATTCAAATTTATTTTTTCCTCTCATAAATAATTTTTGCAATTATTTTTTATTGAAATTAATTTTTTTTATTCACGATATTTTTCACTCTCTCATATTTATAAATATATTTGCAAATATTTTTTTTTCAATTTTTTTTTTCTTTGCTTATTAAATTTATTTTTATTTGAAAAATTTTCATTTTTTTTCGAGAAAAAAACAAACTGTAGAAATTGTATTGGAAAAAATAATTATTTCTTTTTTACTAAATAATAGAAAATAAATCTAATATATATATATTTTTTTATTTTCGTGTTTAATTTAATTTAAACACTCAAAATAAACGGTAAAGAGCTTTAAACCTTTAATTTTAGAAATTTTTTCTAAAAGTGAAAAACTAATTTCACTCTTCGAATAACTTGTAGATATTTTAATTTTTTATTTTAAGAAATGTATAATTGTAGAAACTTCTGAAACGAATCATCTAACTTTAAACAAAATTTATAATACTTAAAATAATTTTCTTTAGGAACGACTCAATATTTTTTAAAAATTATCAACAATTTATTATTATCATAATTATTAACAATTGATTTTATGTTTATTAATTAATCCTATTATTATTAATATTAATATTAATTATTTTTATTATTATTATTATTATTATTATTATTATTTTTATTATTACTGTTATTAATTATTATTAAGGTAATTTGAATTATTATGTCCCTTTTTTATTGGAATAATTTCTTTTTTACTGAAATTCTTTATTACTGAATAAAATCTGAGAGGGAAATTTAACGTTAATTTTTTTTCGAAGATTTAATTAAAAAGAATAAATTCTTTATTAATGAATATAAAAATTGAAACTCTTTCTTTTTGATATTCAATTAAAAGGAGTAAATTTTTTATCATTGAATAAAAATTGAGAAGAAAATTTAAAGTTAATTCTTTTTTCTCTCTCTCTCTCTCTCTTTCTCTCTCGAAAACTATACATGAATTTGTAATTTTGTATCAGTTTGGTAGAAAGTCTCGTACAATTTCACTTTGAAATTTTGCGACTGTACTTTAACGAGTATAGCGTACTTTCCGGAGCATGTACGGCCGTTTCCACTTAAAGTTAATGAAATTCAGAAATTGCTCAAAGCCTAGCTTCCACAATCTTATATGAAACTTCGATCGCAGATTACTTTAATGTGCTAATTACACTTCTTGAATTCATAATTTAGTACTTCACAAAATTCTATTTTTGTTATTTTTAATAAAATGTGGAACCAAAATTTATACACTCTCCTTTCTGTATTATTTTCTCTTTCTCGAAAAAAATTATTTTCGCAGTTATAATTATAAACTAATTTTTCGAATTAAAAAAATTTTTTTTTTAAAAACTAATTATAATTATAATTCTAAAAATACAGTCAACTCTCGATAATTAAACTTTCGATAAATTAAATTTTTTTCTTGTCCCTTGAAATAATTTTAATACTTTTAAAATATTCGATAAAAAAACCCTCGATTTGGATTTTTTTTTGCCCCTTGAGATTCAGTTTATTTAGAGTCGACTGTAATTTTAATTATAATTATCAAATACTTGTAATTTTAATTACAAAATAATTTTAATTGTAAAATAATTGTAATTATAATAATAATTAAAAATAATAATAAACTAATAATAAAAAATAAAAAAAACATAATTATAAAAATTATAAACTTCGCTCAACAATTTATTATATTAAAAACCAAATATTAAGCAATATTATCAATGAATGTACATAAGTTAATTACTTTATCTCAAGGATTTCAGTTGGAATATAAATAACAATAATAATATTGTGTATAAAAATAGTTAATAAAAATTTATTACTAGTTTTTAGAGTACCCCAATGTATATTTTTTAATTATAAAATTTTAATAAAATTCAATTTCGCAAGAACATAATTTCATTTTAATAAAACAAGTTTTATTGAAAATAAAAATTGCATATATTTTGAAATTTATTCTTTTCGATTCTAAAGAGTAAATTCCCAATAGGCAATGTACCTCATGTCCTCTAATCCCTAAGCTCTCGACTTTATACTTTTCTCTATCCAAACTTGAAGGCAAAGACGAAAAGTCGAACGGAAAAGCTCGAACTCGAAACAAGGATTTCGGTAAGAGAAGAAAACTTGCGGGAAACTTTTATTAAGAAATCGATTTAGGACAAAGTCATTATTACCTTGTTCTCCTCTCTCTCTCTCTCTCTCTCTCTTTCTATTTTTCAAATCAAACTTTGTCTATTTTCACACATCTTTATTTTATTTACAACTTATTTAATTAACTGTATTATATTTATGTCTTCTTCAAATATTTTTATGAAATTTGGACGAAATTATTTTCATTTTTGACACATTTTCTTTTGTTTTGTTCAATAAAAAATAATAGTAACCAAATAAAAAATTATTTATTTAATTTTTTGTATTTATTGTTTATTTTCTATATTTTAAATTTTTTAATAAAAAAAGTGACTAAAACATAAAAAAATAAAACACTTTAAATAAATAAAGTATTATTATTAAATTATTTATAATTAATTCTCAAAAATACTAAAAAAAATTAAATTTTGGAAAAATTATAAATAATTACATAAGTTTAATTGTTTTCAAAATTAACAAAATTCTACTCCAAAATTCAATTATTTTAAAAATTTGTAATAAAATTCTTGGCAAAGTTCAATTTTTTAAAAATTTTTAATAAAATTTTTGGCAAAATTTCAAAAATTTTCCTCAATTTCGCACATGAATTCTATTATTTACAAATTTTGTATAAATTTCTTCGCAATAATTTAATTATTTTCAATAAATATTAAAAATTTTTTACAGTGATTGAATTATTTTTATAAATAATAAAATTCTTTTTAGGAATTTAATTATTTTCATAAATAAAACTCATCGCAGAATTTCAATTATTTTTAATAACAATTTTAATCGAATTCCTCGAAAAATGTAATTATTTTATTCTTAATAAAATTCTTTATGAGAATTCAATTTTAAGAAATATTAAATTATTCAATAAATTATTTATTTTTGCTTTTAAATAATTGAATTCCCATAGAATTTTCTAATAAAAAATGATTTAAAAATGAATTTCAGTTAAAATTTTACATTGAATATTTATTATTCAAATTATTTTGAAATATTTAAATAATATTTGAATATTAAAGGCATTAGAGCATGAATTTTAAGAAATAATTGATTTTTCAAAATGTTTCAAATTAAATTCTTTGAAAATCTTATTTTTTTAAATACGTATTCAATTGAAGAATTTTTGAATAATTGAAATTTCGTAAAATTGAATTGTAAACAAATGAATTTGAAAATTCTCAAAGAACTTATTCAAAAATTATTAAAGATAATTAAAGATAATTTGAATTATAACATTTTTTTTTACTTAAAACTTGTAATTTGTTTATAAATTGTAATAGAGAAGCAGAAAATGTTCGAAATATTTTTTACTTTCTAATTTTAATTTTCCTTAGAATTTTTTAATTAAAAAAAAAAATAGCTGCATAATTTTGATTGGTCAGACAGTTAAGTTTTTCATATTCAAAAGAGAAAAATATTTTGCAGGATTTACATTTAATTACCTAAAATGTTTGATACAAAATGCTAATTTTTTTAGAAACAAAGAAATAATGAATAAAATAACATTAATAATTTTTTTAGATTAATAAAAATATTTTTCAATTATTTGAAAATATATGACAGAATATGACGATTATTATAGTTAATTTGTATTTACTATTTATTTTCTATACCCCGTGTGGAAAATGAAAATTGGTCCTAGCCAGGTCCTACCTATTTTGCCCTGTTAATAGCTTGGTCCTAGGTTGGCAGTGTAGGTTGGACCAACAATGGGTGGTGATGCGATTCTAGCCTGGTCCTAACTTGGG